ACTTTAAATTTTAACCAAAAATTATCTGTTAACTTTATTTAATGAAAATGACAAGATAAAAAAATTTAAAAAAAAAAATTACGAAGCGCGTGCATACCTCTTTTTCACTATTTAATTATTAATTATTAACTATTTAATTAAGGAACCATATATGTCCGCAACGAATCATATATGATAAACAAATCAAGGAATCCAAATATTAATTACAGCAGTGACTTTGTTTGAGAGAGGGAGAGAGAGAGAGTCAAAGGCAGAGCTGACAGGAAACGAAAGGACCGCAGTTGAGTTGGGATGTGAAGCTTGAGAGAAGAAAAATCCCAGTTAATGTTAGGATCTCAATAGCCTTTTGTTGATCAATTAATTTTGTATTTTCTTTAATCATTCAGTTCATAAATAGTGTAGTATTATTAAATTTTATAAACAATATAATACTATTCAGTTTCATAAATAATATAATACTATTCATTTTCATAATCAGTGTTTGTAATGGATGCGTGTTATTTTTTTTCAATTTTTTTTATTATATTAATATTGTGTCCTTTTCCTTCAAATTTAAGTTCTTTTGTTCTTTTTATTAAAATTTAAGGGTTTTTCATTAAAATTTAAGTTTTTCTCATTAAATAAGTTCTAGCTTGATTTTTTGTTAAAATAAACTTAGCTCAAACCATTTTTCTTGAAAGCTCCTAATATTAATTTAAGTAATGTTTGTATATTTACCTTTTTTTAAATTAATTTTTATTGGTATTTGATGTGGAAATATAATTTTTTATTTATTCAGCAAATTCTTTTGTTACATATCAATACGCAAAGAACTGGGAATCAAAGAACATTATAACCCCACTTTGAAAGCTTGTTTGGAGCTCCCAAATTCTCAGGGCTTCGGCCTTAAACTACGTGACCCAACTGTAATGTCCTCTGCCGCCCACCAACCTCAAGGCAGAATAATCAAACACTTAGAAAACCAGAATTCATGAATTTTCGCTGAATTGGGTTTTATTATCAATCCTTTAGTAAATGTGTTGATGAACCAACAAAAACATAGGTCAGATGGAATTGCGAATGAAGCTTTCTATCACTTTCCTGTCTGTTCTTTAATTTCTAGAATTATATGATTTGATTGTTATATGGTTTGCTTTTATAATAGAAGATCTTCCCATACATGCATGAATAGAAAAGGGAAAACTTCGAAGAGTAAAATAATGGGATCGATCGATTATTAATTAATTAATTAATTAATTGTAGTATAAAGAAAGAACAGTGTTACATTAGATTTAGACATTTATACAAAATGAAACATATATATTTTGTACATAAAAAAAGGGACGTGTAAACAATATTAGACTTACCAAATCATACTTTATCAGTAAATCTACAAAAAGCAACCTAATTAAAGAACTGCAGCAGGTTGAACCATATCATTCCAAAGGTCGTCCAAGTCTATCATGATGTCATGATCACCTTCAGCTTCATAAAATAATTGTGAGTAGTCAAAATTGGGAAGTGGAAGTCGATCCTTATCATTCATGACAGGATAATTCTGATCTATGTTGGCCGGACTAGCAAGTGAAGAAGCCATGGTGGAATCGGCAACACAGTAGTTTGGCTGGTCTTGAGTAACAAAGTGGTGTGGGTGATTAGCGAACCCAGTCGTACCAGTCTGCGGCGGATCATAGTGAGAGAGAACAGTACCACTACTTGGTTGTGCACTGGAGTAGTGGTACTGTGGCAAGTCGGTCACATTATTCACAAAGCCATTGTGCTGAAGATAGTCTTCTTGGCTAGCCATACTCAGTGAAGAAGCCATGGTGGGATCAGCAACAAAGTAGTTTGGCTGGTCTTGTGTAACAAAGTGGTATGGCTGATTAGCAAACCCAGTCGTAGAAGTCTGCGGCAGAACATAGTGCGAGAAAACAGTACCACTACTTGGGTCTTGTGTACTGGAGTAGTCGTACTGTGGCAAATCGGTCACATTATTCACAAAACCATGGTGCTGAAGATAGTCTTCTTGGTTAGCCATGCCTAGTGAAGAGGTCAAAGTTGGACATGCTGCTTCTGGCCTCGCCATCAGTTCTTGTGAGTCATAGTAGTATTGTGGAAAGTCGGTAACATTACAATGCTCTTGCTGCTGCTGATTATAGTAATGATCAACATTATTCACAAAACTATTGTGCTGAAGATTAGTCTGTTGCTCTTGCTGCGGCTTTTGCTGCTGTGGGTAATGATCTGTATTAACGTCCTCAGCAACCTCAGAAGACACAGGAGTGTCAAATTGCCTTTGAATCTTGTTTCTTTGGGATTCTACTACTCGGGTCTCCTCACGATCATCAGCCTTTCTCTTTCTATCATAATTCTTTCTAATCCGGCAGACTACATATTCATCACCATTACTAGTTCTTGAATTATTTGATTTAATGTACATGGCCAGTTTAGGGTCCAGGCTAAACTCGTGCATAATCCAACACCCGTTTTCTTGAGGATATTTAGTATTCGCATATGTAAACCTTTTCCACCAACCTATCGTCTCTTTAGTCTTCGGATCCTTGACTATAGTCCCTGAATTCTGGCCATGCCATGTTCCAGACCCTATCGTGCGAGCCATGCGCGAACCTGTACCCTTGCTGCTCGTTGGCTTCAGTATGGTAAAGAAGTAAAGGTCTTCGCCTTTTCCCAAATTTTGTCCGCCATTGTTATTCCATATATCTCTCGCCTCCATGCTACCATAAAGATCGAGATCTGGAATAACATTCTCATCCTTAAAGGGTGAGCCGCGAACCTTGTTGCGCAGATAATATCCCACTAACTCCTCGTCTCTTGGGTGAAACTTGTAACCTACTGGAAAGTCATTAGCAGATGCCATATGTATATTTCTTGCTTCCGCTTTCTTGAGAAGATGAGATTTAAGAATGTGGAGAGAAAAGGATTAGGGCGGGAGGGCTGCGGGGAGAGAGGTTTTTTCTTGGTTAGGGTTTTAGATACTCCGAGTCGATTTGTTTCTCTGAAGTGGTTTTGATGATTGCATTTAGTCCTTCCACTCCAAAATCCTATATATAGATTTAGATCAACCGCCCTAACCTTTCATTTAGGAATCATTACCCTAAAATCACGCTCAAAACACGCTACAAATCTTCACTCGCGGTGGAAACGTAGGAGTTTTATTTGGTCAAGAATTCCTACTTAATATATATATATATATATATATATATATATATATATATATAAAGTGAGCATCTATATATATATAAAGGGAGAAGGCCAGTTTGGTGAAGCATTCAAAAATGCCAAGAATGTCCTGACTTCACACACAAAGCTAATGTATAACTGCTCATAGAAATAGGGTCAAAACAATAATATCACAACATTCATAAATTATCTACAAAAAGCGGAATGTTCCTCATATATGCCTATCTTAACCATGAACATTCTGTACTATCAGATGAAAACACCCACACTTTAAAATTCATTGTCAGCCCTTAGATTGATCTTCTTATAACTACTGCATTGCACTCTAATCTTTTCACCATAAAAAAACACAAAAATAATATAAAAATAAAAAATAAAAGTAAACCACTCTAGATGGAATCGAAACTCTCCACACTTCCACTCAAAACAACAGTTGTAGCAGTTGCCAATAATGGAGAAGTAACCGTCATTTACCGCACGTTCTAAAGATCTCAAAGCATCACTTAACCCCCACAATATATACAAAAAGTAAACAAACTCACTTTCGTTTTCTGCACAGACTCATCTCCCCCGAGTGGTTTTCCGAAGTTTCTTCTGAATTTCATCAGATCTCTCCTGTCGATTAGAATCATCTTACATTGGTACGACTTACTTTTTCTCCAAAGTAAATTTCAGTTTCGTTGGAAGAACTGATATGCTCATGTATACGTATACATATGTTTTGATTCCTATTAAACTTTGTATTATTTTTGTGTTTGTCATTGGCAGGTAGCTTTGAAAACATTAGATAAATTGGATAATTTTCTCGAACAATATTATCCTTATCTTGGCCAGATTTTTGAAATGGGTTTTCGCTAGAGATTTTCACTTTCTGCTTCAATCTAGGTACTCTATGCTTAATTGAATTGTTCATCACGACCTTATTTTCATATATACTAATTTGGAGTTTTTAACTCGATTGTCCTTTGAACTATTCGAAATTATTTATATTTACCAGATTTTTTAAATGGGTTTTGGACCAATTTGTAGAAAGCTCTCTGTTTTGTGTATTGGTTATTCAGTTTCTGGCTTAATTTTTGCTTTTATGGAATGCCAGAGACATTTAAGGAGTTACTGAATTACCAGTTGTTGTTTTTGTTTTACTAATGCTTGGGGTAATGTTTGAATTGAATTATGTTATTTAAACTAATACATGTTAATTACTTTCGTGTTGCGTACAGACCCTGCTTCCGTATGATTTCTTCATCTGAAACCTGCAATCCGAAAAATAAATGTGAGGATTTACACAAATTCTCGAGTATTTCCCCAACTCTTTACTTCTCTGTCATTAGGTACCTTCCATCACTCTCTCTCTCTCTCTCTCAAATATTACAATGAGAACAAACTCTTACACACTCTGTCAGATTTTCTGTATTTAGAAAAAAAAAACCCCTGAAATCGCTAACCTTGAAGAACCATTTGGTAAGCATTTTCCCCGCTACTCTATGTCAGATTTTCTGTATTTTTCTTGGTTTTTGTGGGTCTGTTCAAGTTCTTGAGGGACCTGAAGTTTTTGTTAAATGACTATCTGGTTTCCATCTTTGACGCCGTTTGGTTCTGACTGTTTTGTTTTCTTCTTCTTTCCTGTTTGGTCTGAATTGTGTATTCAGATAGTCTAATAAATAATTTTTGGTTAATTTTGAAGTTTTTTATATTTTGAGCCGAGCCCTGGTTTCAGATGATTTATCGGATTAAAGTTTTCTGTAAGTGGTTTTACAGCAATTCCTTGGTAGTTAATTACTTGGTTTCGGATCAAAAGTTTTCTGAAGGTAATTTCTTGGCGGGTTTTGTGTTTACTGTAATGAATTGTGGGTGATTATGTTAGTGGTGTTTGTATTTGAGCTTGGGCTTGACGGGGTTTGTTCGTGATGATTGGTTGTTGGTTATGAACTTAGAATCTTGGATTTTATTTTTTGATTTGGTTAATTCAATGGGATTTTGTGTAATGTACTACTACGATTAGTACTTTGTTTTTGGGTGGTGAATTTATAAGATTTGGAATCTTTATGGAAGAACAAGGAAAGAAAATCTGCAAAAAAGACAATATTAGTCAAATTCTCCCACCGTTTCATTTTAAAGATGTTTACAGCTTTAGGAACCTACTTTTCATCCTGAGTTTTCATCCCACTGGGGATTGGCGGCTTCAGCTTCATTGTTGCTGAGACTAGTGGCCCATTGGTGTCGGGTACGGTTTATTGATACATAGGAGTTTATAGGTAGGTTGGTTTTTGTATACCTCTGTGTCGAAAGAAATATGTGTATGTTGTTTGCTGCAAATGAATTGATTTCATTGCATTTCAGGCTTAATGACTTGAAGCAACGTGGTGAGTTTTATGCTCTTCGTTCGATTATAGTATATTCTTTTACAATGACTTTAAGTATTTACATAGACAGTTTTGCAATCTAATTTTTTTTATTTATTTATAAGTTTTTGCTAAAGATGTACAATTCAGTTTGGATGTAGCCTTACAATTTTTTTATTAGAATATGATGTTTTAATTGCTCTCTTGCTGAGTAAAGTTTTGGACGGTTTGGCAATGTGTAACTGAAGTTCTATTTGTCATTGTATCGATGTTGCAGTTTGCTTACTTGCCAAAGCTTTTAACGTGTTTCGGGAGTGATACACATGGAGAATACCAATGGCTACACATTCCAGGTTTGAGCATTCGCTTGCTGTCTATTTGTCATACATGACGATTTGGTTTTGGCTTTTACTTAGCCTTACTAAATTACATTAATTTTAGAGCATATTAAGCAACTTTTAACTATCACAATAGTTAGGTAAATAGATGAAGACCTATCCAAAAAATTGCACATAACATCATTAAGGTATCTTATCCATGAATACATATTCTATCTGTATCATCATGAACTTAGTTTATCTTTTCCACTTTCCTCATAACACTACATTAGGGGAGCCTCATGATCATTATTATCATTAAAAACAGATGTGTGATACATCTAATGATCCTTATTATCAATAAGACTTAGATCTTATCCAACAATTCTACATCCAAATTCCAACCAATAATTGGAATCCCCAATCTAACCAACTCAATATATAGGTCTACAAAAATAGAACAAATTATAGCTTTAATCAACTCATCTTTAACAGATTTGGTAAAATAAAGTGTTCAAATAGAATCCAATATGTAGTAAGCTGTATTTTGTGGTATTGTGAGGATAAGATGATATTTATGCCTCTGTTTTTCTCAATAGGAAACTGAGATTGTATGCTGCGGTTGAAGACGCCAACATAAATGCAACAGAAAGAAGAGGGACAAATAAAGAATAGAGGGTAAATACATTAGCTCCCTTCGGTTCTGTTAGTTGGCACTTTTCTCCTATTTTTCATTCTTTTGTATGGACGAATACATATTTATCATTCCTATATACAATCAGAATAACTATGTATTTCGTGTATCACCATCCTCTTTGCCTGAAATCTTATTTGGATGGTCCTGCTTATGTACGAAGTTCTTTCTTATATGATGAATGATTTCCTAGCCTATTTTGTGTTTCATTGTACTCTAGCGTTAGGTGTAAGAAAACAAACAACCATTAATTGAAACAAAAAAGGCTATTTTCATGGCCTGATCTCAAATGAATTTGTATTAAATTAAAGGGTAAAATTTGCACACCACTTAAATTGGCACAAATTTAGCATTTGTACTTTAATGGTAAAACACAAATTAAATTTTTTTTTTTACTATATATGTAAAAAATGAATATGAATACAAAAACCTAAAATTAAAAAAGTTCCAGTAAAAATTAAACATAAGAAAATTTAAAATAATGTTGGAATGAAAACAAAAAACTTGAAAGAAAAACATGAACGTGCTTAACCAACCTTCACAATTTGATACGCAGTAGTGGGCAATTTAAGAACACAAATTAAAAAAATCATCTTTACCACATGTGTAAAAAACAAATTAAAAAAAAAACACTGGAATTAAAAAAGTTACAGTATTGTTCAAAATAAAAGTTACAGTAAATATAAAAAAAGAAAAGAGGGTAAATACATTAGCTCCCTTTGGTTTTGTTAGTTGGTACTTTTCCTATTTTTCCCATTGTAATTGTCAAGATATACTTTAAATGTATTGTGCAAAGAGGAACTATTTATTTTATTTTTTATCATGCACGTCCTAAAAAGTTATCATGTTTTTCGTTTTTACTTTGTGTAAAGTAATGATTTAAATGTTATTCATGCACTTATCAAACAACATATGATTTTAGATGCAAGTTCCTACTTAAAGACCATGAACAATAGCAAGTATATGTAAATAAATAAAAAATAGTAGATCACAACATTAAGTACTCATTCAATAAAAAAGACAACACAAAAGTAACTGCTTATAATAGGGGTAACATAGTGAAATGAAACACAACACACATGGGAGATGCTTACGTGAGATATACTTTTTCTACACTCTTAGCCAAGATTGTTTTTATTCGTTGGATGAATCAAACCCTCCCTCAAAGCTTCATCCTAAATTTCATCAATGAATGTGGCCCCTTAGATTAAAAAAATGGACGATGAAAACATCACTCCGATTTTTGATATAAGCACTATCCAACTATCCAAACAAACGGGGTACAACCCACGTTCTCTTATTACGGGTTACACATTTCTAAAAACTTTTTATATTATGTCCAGCCCACATCTGTCATTTATGATAGGGTTTAGGGGTATTAAAAAAGTTTAAAATTTTACTCATCCAGTTGACATAAAAATTATAACTCTATAAACAATGCTAATTTATAAAAGAAAAAAACATGAAAGCTAAATCATATCCAAGTCCTAACACCAACCGAGAAGTGTATATAGGCCCGTCATTTCGTTGCACTAATACCTATTACACTTCAAAAGTATTTTGTGATCATTTTATTTTGTTCTTTTGTATTATAGTGATGTGTAGATAAATGTTTTTTCTTCTTCTGTTCATAGGCATCTACGTAGACTTTTTCGTATTTATGGAATGTAACAGAATTTGTATTCAATTTAGGTTCATTTATTTTTTAATTTTTTAGATAAATTTTTCCATGGAGTGTGGCCAAAGTCGTGCAAGACAATGGCGTCAATCATTGAGTCCTGAAGAACATCAAAGATATCTAGCTCGACGACGTCTAATAGCACAAGAAAAAAGACAACAAATTCCAACTCTATATGATGATCATACTATGACATCCCCCAGTAACATATAACAAGAAATTCCTGGTATTTATTTCATATTCCTTTTTCTTTAACTCATACTAATGCAAAAAAAAATGAAAATGAAAATTCTAATTTCTAATTTTTCTTTTAACTATGCAACAAGTAGGTCCCAATAATATACAAGAACGGGTTCAGTTGGCTAACGATGATGTTGAGGTCGACCCCAGTAATATAGAACAACAAATTCCTGGTATTTATTTCAATTTCTTTATTTGTATTTGTTTCACACTTAAAAAATTAGGTTATTTTTTAAGAGCAAAATTTAGTGAATTGAAATCTCATTGTATTCTTTTCTTCGATACTTTCATATTGATCTCAATGTTGTAGTTATTTTTAGTGGTAGTCTTACGAAATATTAGACTCACAACTAAATATATTAAATATTAAAGACAAAATGTTTAACTAATCGTATTATAATGTGGTCTATTTATTAGAACAAATTGAGCATGAAAGCGCGAATTCAAGGGTTTTGTTAGATATCACAAATCATGATGACCAAACTTCTACTAGAATGCGTACTCATATGGGACAGTTGGCACATTCAAATAGGTCACAAATATCTTATGGGATGCTCTCAATTCCTCCCCACAATGGTGAGCTTAGTATATAATTTTATCTTTATATAGATATGTGATTAGTTACAAAGAAAATTCTTATACTGAATGTTGGATATTCATGTAAAAATATCAGAAGAAGAACATGCAAATAGAACCAATTGTCATGTGCGCCAAACCAGAGGAAGAAGAAACCACAATTGTGCTAGAAATTATATTGAGAATCGGGGTATCCTAGGTTGCCAATTATCTGCTCCAACCACATGTCCGTACTGCTATGCACGATTGTTTGCTCGAGAAACTTTGAATATGTGTTGCTTGAAAGGAAGAATTGTTTTACCCCCAATACAATCCCCACCAGAAATGGTTGCTCTTTTCTCTGACCAAACAAATGAGGGTAGACACTTCAGGCAACATATTCGAGCTTACAATCATGCATTTGCATTCACTTCAATGGGAGTACACGTGGATGAAAAAATTAATATTGGTGGTCGTGGGATTTACACATTTCATGCTCAAGGTGCATTATATCATAAGATTGGTGGACTTTTACAAAATGAAGGGAACAGACCGCGATTTTTACAAGCTTATATATATGACACTGAGCATGAAGTTGAAAACCGAATGTGTGAAAGTGAAGTTTTAGATAGACGTGTGGTTGAAAAGATACAACATATGTTGAACAACCATAATCCTTTTGTTCATACATTGCGAAGCCTCGGACAACGCCAAGATTTGCCGAATTGCAAGTTGATCCTAAAAGAGCAACCAATAGATCGGCGTCAGTATAGTCTACCATCAACATCATAAGTTGCGGCAATTATAATAGATGGAGATAATGCCACAATTGCAAATGGAAGGGATATCGTGGTGGAGACAATTAGTGGAAGATTTTCTCACGTCCAAGACTATGTTGGATTTTATGATCCCTTACAATATCCACTATTGCTGCCTTACGGTACATATGGATGGGATGTTAACAGTCGTGATGATGGTGGAAGAGCAATAACATGTTGCGACTATTATGCTTATATGTTACAGGTTTGTACTAATAACATAATTTACTTCCCGGTATATATAGATGAATGATAATTCCTATATTAAAAGCAATATATGAAATTTGCTTTTGTAGATACGCCATAATGGATCATCACTTTTGCTTCGAGGTGGACGTCTCTTGCAACAATATGTTGTAGATAACTACATTAAAATTGAATCACAAAAACTTAGATGGTTGCGTTCTAATCAAGCCACAGTTAGAGCGGATCTCTATAAAGGACTTGAAGACTCTCTAAATGCAGGTCAACACAATGCAGGTATATATATCGTTTCAGTCATCGTTATTTAGAAATATAACTTTGTTTAAAGTGTGTACAATATATACAGCTAATTGAAAATAAAATATTATTAGGTAGCATCGGGCGTAGAATTATTTTACCATCATCATTTGTTGGAAGCCCACGTGACATGTACCAACGATATCAAGACGCAATGACTTTGGTTCAAAGATTCAGAAAGCCAGATCTTTTTATTACCATGACATCTAACCCAAGTTGGGAAGAAATCAAAAGCGAATTACTCGCTGGACAAACTCCACAAGATCGCCCTGACTTACTCACTAGAGTATTTCGTGCAAAACTTGAGCAACTAAAAGAAGACATCATTGAAAAGGGGGTATTGGGTAGTGTTGTTGCTTACGCATACGTTATTGAGTTTCAGAAACGTGGTCTTCCACATGTGCATATGCTGGTTGTGTTAAATGAAAATGATAAGATCAATAACCCAGATGAGTATGACCGAATTGTTAGAGCTGAAATACCAAATGAAGATGTAGAGCCTCAACTTTATAATGTGGTGTTAAAGCATATGATTCATGGCCTGTGTGGGATTCATAATCCTCTATCTCCATGTATGAAAAATGGGAGTTGTAAGAGAAAGTTTCCCAAACCATTTGCATCAGTCACCGTTCAAGGGAATGATTCGTATCCAATTTATCAAAGGCGAGGAAATCGATTGCTCGTCTCACTTAATCAACAAGGAAACATAATGGTTGATAATAGTTGGGTCATTCCATATAATCCATGGTTGCAGTTAAGGTATGATTGTCACATCAATGTCGAAATTTGCGCAAGCATAAAAAGTGTCAAGTACTTATATAAGTATGTTTACAAAGGCCCAGACAGAGTAACAGTTGAAGTGCAATCAGACCCTCAATATGATGAAATAAAGCAGTTTCAGGATGCAAGATGAGTTTGCGCACCAGAGGCATTATGGAAAATATTCAAGTTCATTATTAATCGAATTTATCCATCTGTTGAGCGAATGCAAATACATCTTCCTAATATGCACCAAGTTCAGTTTCGTGCCGATGAAAGCATAACAAATATTCTACATGATGAGAGTACAAGAAAGACAATGTTGACTGAATTTTTTACACTTAATCATGTGGATGCAGAAGCGCGACATTATTTATACATGGAGATACCATCACATTACAGATGGATTCAAGCTCAAAGAAAGTGGTCTAAAAGAAAGAATCGTAACACGGTTATTGGGCGAATATATGCAGTTTCACCTGTTGAAGGCGAAAAATTTTACCTTCGGATTCTTCTTAATCATGTTAGAAGACCAACATCCTTCATAAACTTGAGAACAATTAATGGGGTTTTGCATCCAACATTTAAGCAGGCAACAGAATAACGAGGTTTGTTAGAAAGAGATAACAGTATTCGACAATGTTTGTTAGAGGCCTCCACAATTCAGATGTCGTCGGCTTTAAGAAGATTATTCGTCACCATATTGGTATATTGTGCACCAATTGGTATTCGAGGGTTATGGGATGAGTTCTGTCCATTCATGATGGAAGATTATGTTTCCATGACTAACATAACTCCCACACTTGCTACCAACATACTCTTGCGTGAGTTGAACATACTTTTGGTTCAATTTAACAAGAGTATAAACGAGTTTGATTTGCCCAAAATGACAAGAGGAAATGAATCAAGTTCAGGAATGACCGGATGTATTGAAGATGAAATATCCATATGTATTCCACAACAAGATCTTGATGCAATTGAACGCTTAAATGATGACCAAAAAAGTGCGCTTAACATAATAATGGGTGCAGTTCAACGATCGGATAATGCAACTTTTTTTGTGGATGGTCCCGGTGGAACTGGAAAAACTTACTTATATCGCGCATTGTTAGCAAGCTTGAGAAGGTTGGGGCATATAGTATTAGCAACAGCATCATCTGGAATAGCAACTACGATATTGCCTGGTGGGAGGACAGCACATTCTAAATTCAAGATACCACTTAGTCTCGATGCATCATCAATGTGTTCGATCGGTAAACAATCTGATTTAGCAAAGCTAATACAAAAGGCCAAGGCGATTATTTGGGATGAAGCAACAATGACGCATCATCATGCATTTGAAGCACTCGATCGAACGTTCAGAGACTTAACAGATATTGACTTACCATTTGGGGGGGAAGATAATGATATTTGGGGGAGATTTTCGACAAGTTCTTCCTGTTATCCGGAAAGGAACCAAGTCCGAACTAATCCAAGCAAGTGTTGTTAAGGCATCATTTTGGTCACAAGTAAAGATTTTAAAACTCAAACAAAACATGAGATCCATAAATGATTGTGAATTTTCAGAATTTTTACTTCGTGTTGGTGATGGGAATGAAGCTGTTATTATGGATGATATGGTAAAACTACCTGAATGCATGGTGATACCATGGGAGAGTGAGCATTCCATTAATCAATTAATTTCCAAAATCTTACCTGACTTAGAGGATCATATAAATGATGCAACCTACATGGTGGAAAGGGCAGTGATAACTCCTACAAATGAAGACGTTGATATGTTGAATGAAAAGATAATCAATATGTTTCCGGGTTTAGAAGAGACAATGTATTCATTTGATTCAGTTGAGGATGACGCAAGGAATTTGTATCAGCCAGAGTTCTTGAATTCAATCTCACTTGGTGGTTTGCCTCCGCACAAGTTAACTCTGAAAAGAGGTGCTCCAATCATGCTTTTAAGAAATATTGATCCGAAATTGGGATTGTGTAATGGTACAAGATTATTGTGTCGTGGTTCTTACCGAAATCTTATTGATGCTGAAATTCTAACTGGACAATTTGCCGGATCCAGAGTTTTCTTACCAAGAATCCCTCTCAAAAGTACTGATACTGCTGGGCTTCCATTTGAACTTACAAGAAAGCAATTTCCAGTGAAACTAAGTTTCTCTATCACTATAAACAAATCTCAAGGTCAAACAATACCACATGTAGGCATTTACCTTCCAGATCATGTCTTCAGCCATGGACAATTATATGTGGCTTTATCGAGGGGGGTCTCAAAGTCAACCACAACCGTGTTAGTAAAAAGTGGCTCCATAGTAGGCCAACAAGGTGTATTTACACGGAATGTAGTATACAAAGAAGTCTTTCTTCATTCCAGCTAATTATGGTGATTCCTAATAGGTAACAACTTTATCAACGATAACCTTTCAGTATGCATTTCTCACTTATCAATTAACTATTTTTATTTGATTTTTAATTTTCTCACTATCGTTTGTAGATTGGCAATGAAAATTTGAAGCATCAATCATGAACAAATGGGTGGAAATTGCATCATTGATGTCAATATGTAAACTTTCTTTTCAAAAAAAAAACAGTGACATATAGACTCTATGAGTATTGTGAATAATGTACATATTGTTATGTAGGATTTATATTTTGACATTTAAATTGTTTTGTATTTTGCTACGAGTACTTACTGTTTTCATCTACTATTTTTTTATTTATTTACATATACTTGCTATTGTTCATAGGCTTTAGGTAGGAACTTGCATCTAAAATCGTATGTTGTTTGATAAGTGCATGAATAACATTTAAATCATTACTTTACACAAAGTAAAAATGAAAAACATGATAACTTTTTAGGACGTGCATGATAAAAAAAGTTCCTCTTTGCACAATACATTTAAAGTATATCTTGACAATTACAATGGGAAAAACTAACACAATACACCTTTAGGGGAGCGTAACGCCCGCGATACAAAAATGCCTCTCGCACGCACGTTAGTGCGTGCAGAGAGGCTAGTTATATATAAAGTGAGAAGGATAAAAATGTGAATCATTCAAAATACCAAAAATTATCCTTTAAGAATTCTAAAAATTACAATTGAACCATAAGAATTTAAAGTAATTCACCACATTTTAATTTTGAATGAATTTTAAATTTAAAACTTTAATTAAAAAACAAAACTCCTATGTTAATTTTTTTCTGAATAATTTTTTAATAAGAACATAAAATAGTTACTTTAAAAAAATTAAAAGACATAATCTAATATAAAAAGGTCAATTGCCACTCGCATATGAGGCTAATTTGTTACTAAAAGATGCAACAATTCGTACTTGATCGATTAATAAATTCCTATTTTTTGACAAAAAAAGATTAACAGTTCGGTAATTCACTAGATAAATCCCATGCTATTTTCTTTGGAGTGATTTCATTTATACGTTTTTTAATTAGTTACTAATTTCCTTTGACAGTCTTAGTCTTTATTCAACAGTCTCATAAACGACGTCATAAAATTGTGCACTATAAGAATGTACTGACTAATCCGAAAATCGTAAGTTTGAAGTCTAAGACCATCTCCTTTAAATTTGAACCTTAAATTTAAATTTGACAGCTTATGTGGCATTTTGATATATTTTCATGTTTCGCTCTTCACCTGATATATCAAATTAAACTATTATTTTATTATATTATTTTTTTTTTCTTATATCTCCACTCGACGGTCAGGATTGAGAGATTGTGAATGATTTCATTTGCATTGCGTACCTACGTGCTTTGCCGATCCAGGCAGTTTAGTGAAGCCATTAAACTGAGCCAAATCTGAAATGGAACAAAAGGGACGATCAGGACTGGGATTCAAATGAGGAAGAGATGAGCGAAGAGCCATTGATTAATTAAGATTGTACCTGATTGGGAGGGGATGTGGGAGAAGAGGAAGAGGATGAGGAAGCAGAGGAGGATGAGGATCGGGATGATGTGGATGAATTTATGCGGTGCAATGGACGGCGGTGATGACAAACGGTGAGGCTTCGATGCTTTGTGGTCCTCGTCGTCTTCGTAGGCTGCAGAGATTGAAGAGGATGAGGAGGAGGTGGCGGTGGAAAAGGCTAAAAGATCCTTAATGTGGTTGGGGGAGTCATCGACGGTAAGAGTCTGGTCCTTGGGTCTGCCGTGGGGTTGGTGGAGCTTCGACAGCGAGCCGCCCAGTAACTGTCTTTGCATGGTCGTAGACTCACAGACAGGGAGAAAGATAGAGAGAGAAGAGAAAGCGAAAGATAAGAAAACCGTTCAACAATCAAATAATAAATGACATTAAAATATTAATAAAATACATTTAATAATTAGTAAAAAAAATTTGAAGTTGCTGTCAAATTTGACAACAAGCCCCTTTGCTGCCATTCCATGTCATACCACATAGGATTTGACATTTCGGTTGGAAACAATTAGTGGCTGTCTTTTTTTACTGTTATAGCTTATGTGGACAATTTGACATCTCCTTTGGAGATGCTCTAAACATATGGTTTGGTTTTAAGAAGTCGTAGACCCTACATAGTGTGTTTCAGAGCCTCCGAAAGAATATATTTGGTTTTAATCTTAAGAGCGATTCTGGCAATACATAGCTGACAGCAATTATAGACTATTTCAACCGCATTGGCGATTGTTTAACAATGACACTTGAAAATTGTGGTGAAATATAGAGTACAAGAGCACTAAGAATACAGTAACGCTGATTTCTAGTTAATTATCAAGCTAAAAAGGACATGCAAAAATATAAACTACTAGATTTTTCCTAAACTCAACTCGGACATGCATTAAAATTTTTCAAAACTACAACTTGTTAGCACTCCCCCAAAGACAAAGGTACAGGTGCATTATGAAAAACGTAAATACTTGATTCACACAGAGAGAAAATAAAATAGGTGATAATCTGACCTGTTACTTCAATTTATTGAGTAAAATTACCAAACTTTCAACATAAGTGTATAGTAGCGGGAAAGGGAATTTCGTGCCAACCGAATTCCAGTTCCATTAAGTTGCTCGGTTTCAAGATTATAGTAAGCCAGATCATGTCCTTCACAAAGATTTTCATGATACTCCAAAAGGAGTTCAGTACTTATTCTAAACCTTAATGAAGTAGTACTCATTCCAGGAAGAACTGTGTGCAACTTTTCGAAAGAATGTTCTTTCCAAACCCATATGTCAATACCTTTATCTGGCACACGTTTATTGAGCAAGCAAAGTCCTGCTATTATGGTCTAATTCCAGTTCGTTACCACCATCGACTCATAATGTGGCTTAACTCAATTTTCACTGTTGGTGTAAATAGATTGATGTATTAAAAAAAATAAAATCAATTTTAACTATTTGATAATCATTGCAACATTTATCCATCAATTTATTTGATTTGAATTGGAAACTCAAGACATTACTGATTTAGAAATGATTTTACAAGGTTGATTTTATATAGATACTTTTTTTTTCCTTATAAAACAATGTATTTGGGCTAAGTTACAGGATGTTCAGTAATAATAAATTGATATTGAACTTGTTATTCACACAAATTAACTTAAGACTTACCATTTATAAGTGAAAAATATTGACAAATTGTGGTACTTTTTCTTATTGTAAATGATATTATTAATGAAGCTACATTCGAGGGAGGGGATAGGTTTTGAAGCTTATCTACTGATTAGAGCAATCTATCATTTGCTTGAAACCAGCCACTACTTCCCGTGAAGTGGGTAAATGGTGTGATTAGTATGCATATGTTTACCAATTTTTTCTAGAAAACTTTAACGAAAAACTCCTGTACTATTCACTTTAATGAAAAACCACATTTTTACACTAAAAAGTCAATCATGGTACGATTCACTTCACCTTTTATTTTGTAGTTTTCATTAAAACTCAAAGTTTTCAAACCATTTTCATTAATTTTCCTTTTTTTCAATACATATATTTGTATATACATTTCTTTTATACAAGACGATGGTCGTATTATTATTAGAATAAGCAAGCAAGGTTTCAACCGTCAATGAAAGCTCTCTAGATTAAATTTGGAGCAGCCTTAAATAGGGCCGACCCTAATGGTAGCCTAAGTAGGCACCCGTTTAGGGCTCCCACTTCGAAGGAGCCTCCAAAATTTTTTTATAGGGAACTTTAACGAAAAGTTCATGGTACTATTAACTTTAACAAAAATCCCAGGAAACGAAAGGACCGCAGTTGAGTTCGGATGTGAAGCTTGAGAGAAGAAAAATCCCAGTTGATGTTCGGATATCAATAGCCTTTTATTGATCAATTAATTTTGTATTTTCTTTAAACATTCAGTTCATAAATAGTGTAATACCATTAAGTTTTATAAATAATATAGTACTGTTCAGTTTCATAATCAATGTTTGTAGTGGATGCATGTCATTTTTTTTCAATTTTTTTATTATATTAATATTGTGTCCTTTTCATTCAAATTTAAGTTCTTTTGTTTTCTTTATTAAAATTTAAGGGTTTTTCATTAAAATTTAAGTTTTTTTCATTAAATAAAGTTTTAGCATGATTTTTTGTTAAAATAAACTTAGTCCAAGCTATTTTTCTTGAAAGCTCCTTATATTAATTTAAGTAATGTTTGTATATTTATCTTTTTTTTATATTAATTTTTAATGGTATTTGATGTGGAAATATTTATTCAGCAAATTCTTTTGTTACATATCAATACACAAAGAAGTGGGAATCAAAGAACATTAGAATCCCACTTCGAAAGCTTGTTTAGAGCTCCCAAATTCTTAGGGCTTCGGCCTTAAACTACGTGACCCAACTGTAATATCCTCTGCCACCCACCAACCTCAAGGCAGAATAATCAAACACTTAGAAAACCAGAATTTATGAATTTTCGCTGAATTGGGTTTTATTTCCAATCCTTTAGGAAATGTGTTGATGAACCAACAAAAACATAGGTCAGATGGAATTGCGAATGAAGCTTTCTATCACTTTCCTGTCTGTTCTTTAATTTCTAGAATTATATGATTTGATTGTTATATGGTTTGCTTTTATAATAGAAGATCTTCCCATACATGCATGAATAGAAAAGGGAAAACTTCGAAGAGTAAAATAATGGGATCGATCGATTATTAATTAATTAATTAATTAATTGTAGTATAAAGAAAGAACAGTGTTACATTAGATTTAGACATTTATACAAAATGAAACATATATATTATTGTACATAAAAAAAGGGACGTGTAAACAATATTAGACTTACCAAATCATACTTTATCAGTAAATCTACAAAAAGCAACCTAATTAAAGAACTGCAGCAGGTTGAACCATATCATTCCAAAGGTCCTCCAAGTCTATCATGATGTCATGATCACCTTCAGCTTCATAAAATAATTGTGAGTAGTCAAAATTGGGAAGTGGAAGTTGATCCTTATCATTCATGACAGGATAATTCTGATCTATGTTGGCCGGACTAGCAAGTGAAGAAGCCATGGTGGAATCGGCAACACAGTAGTTTGGCTGGTCTTGAGTAACAAAGTGGTGTGGGTGATTAGCGAACCCAGTCGTACCAGTCTGCGGCGGATCATAGTGAGAGAGAACAGTACCACTACTTGGTTGTGCACTGGAGTAGTGGTACTGTGGCAAGTCGGTCACATTATTCACAAAGCCATTGTGCTGAAGATAGTCTTCTTGGCTAGCCATACTCAGTGACGAAGCCATGATGGGATCAGCAACAAAGTAGTTTGGCTGGTCTTGTGTAACAAAGTGGTATGGCTGATTAGCAAACCCAGTCGTAGAAGTCTGCGGCAGATCATAGTGCGAGAAAACAATACCACTACTTGGGTCTTGTGTACTGGAGTAGTCGTACTGTGGCAAATCGGTCACATTATTCACAAAACCATGGTGCTGAAGATAGTCTTCTTGGTTAGCCATGCCTAGTGAAGAGGCCAAAGTTGGACATGCTGCTTCTGGCCTCGCCATCAGTTCTTGTGAGTCATAGTAGTATTGTGGAAAGTCGGTAACATTACAATGCTCTTGCCGCTGCTGATTATAGTAATGATCAACATTATTCACAAAACTATTGTGCTGAAGATTAGTCTGTTGCTCTTGCTGCGGCTTTTGCTGCTGTGGGTAATGATCTGTATTAACGTCCTCAGCAACCTCAGAAGACACAGGAGTAACATAAGATTCATCAATATTGTCAAATTGCCTTGGAATCTTGTTTCTTTGGGATTCTACTACTCGGGTCTCCTCACGATCTTCCGCCTTTCTCTTTCTATCATAATTCTTTCTAATCCGGCAGACTACATATTCATCACCATTACTAGTTCTTGAATTATTTGATTTAATGTACATGGCCAGTTTAGGGTCCAGGCTAAACTCGTGCATAATCCAACACCCGTTTTCTTGAGGATATTTAGTATTCGCATATGTAAACCTTTTCCACCAACCTATCGTCTCTTTAGTCTTCGGATCCTTGACTTTAGTCCCTGAATTCTCGCCATGCCATGTCCCAGACCCTATCGTGCGAGCCATGCGCGAACCTGTACCCTTGCTGCTCGTTGGCTTCAGTTTGGTAAAGAAGTAAAGGTCTTCGCCTTTTCCCAAATTTTGTCCGCCATTGTTATTCCATATATCTCTCGCCTCCATGCTACCATAAAGATCGAGATCTGGAATAACATTCTCATCCTTAAAGGGTGAGCCGCGAACCTTGTTGCGCAGATAATATCCCACTAACTCCTCGTCTCTTGGGTGAAACTTGTAAGCTGCTGGAAAGTCATTAGCAGATGCCATATGTATATTTCTTGCTTCCGCTTTCTTGAGAAGATGAGATTTAAGAATGTGGAGAGAAAAGGATTAGGGCGGGAGGGCTGCGGGGAGAGAGGTTTTTTCTTGGTAAGGGTTTTAGATACTCCGAGTCGATTTGTTTCTCTGAAGTGGTTTTGATGATTGCATTTAGTCCTTCCACTCCAAAATCCTATATATAGATTTAGATCAACCGCCCTAACCTTTCATTTTGGAATCATTGCCCTAAAATCACGCTCAAAACACGCTACAAATCTTCACTCGCGGTGGAAACGTAGGAGTTTTATTTGGTCAAGAATTCCTACTTAATATATATATATATATATATATATATATAAAGTGAGCATTATATATAAAGTGAGAAGGATAAAAATGTGAAACATTCAAAATACCAAAAATTGTCCTTTAAGAATTCTAAAAATTACAAT